CCGCGCGACTTCTACTCGATTCATCTGTCGTCGCTTACTCGTCTATCCTCTCTCGCAGACGTGCTCACAAGCGGATTCCACTGGTAGAACGACAACGAAAACGACGCGAGTCCGCGTCCCAGAAATCGTAAAAGGTAAGTTCTCGATGCCGATCGCGGAACCGAGCGAACAGACGGTTTTTATTTTACGTAATTAGGGGTTGTCGAGGAGAGGAAACGACGGCTACGAAGAAACCAACGACGAACGAAGCAAACGGGTATCGAAACGTCGAATCTGCGTTAAAAGTTTCCCTCGAGGATTACGGTGGAATCGGAATGTCGATTGGGCGACTGGCTAACAATTCGCTGCTTCGGCGTAGGAGTAAGTCTAAGGGTTGTTCATCCATCAAGGGCCAACAGTTACGTTGTTGCATCTTCTCATTTGCAATTTTTTTCATTCAATTTACATTACGCAAAATAGATTAAGGATTTTAGTACTGTCCTCTGTAAAGTGTTTTATGAATAGCAGACTGCAGGTTTTTATGCAAATTCATATTTTTGAGAAGCACTATACTTTGAATATTTTACATACTTTTCATGTTACGTGCATTCTGTGCAATTTTGCACCTTCGTATTTTCTATAAATTCATAGAAATTGTAGGATTTTTACGTAACATGTAAAATCTAACGATAAGAAATGTAAAGTACTCTAGGTCTTTATATGTATAACGTGAAATTATGATAGACTATCGCTTGGCCCTTGATCGATTAAGGTCGGTTTCAAATGATCTGGAACGCCCGACAAGGGATTTAAGAATTAATCCTGTCACATTTTTTCGGTCATTTGTGCGCAGTTGTATTATACTTTTCTACTGTTATAATGAATATAGAAAAATCCAAGTGTCTTATTAGAGTTAACTAATTTCCTTGGTTATAGTTACTGACAATATAAGGAACATAAAAATAACATGAAAAGAATTAACGTAATTTCCTTTGGTAGTAATTTCTAAAATTAATATAAAGAACAAAAGTTTCTAAGATAAAGTAGAGAATTTTTCCTTGCGAATCCATCCAAAATGGATCTCCCATAAGAACTCGAAGCAATGAAACGCATACATATACGTATTTGTAAGAAACGAAATACAAAATATATTCTACTCACGTATACCGCAATGGTATCATCCAACGATTCATCATGAGACATCGAACGTTAACGATGGATCTTCAGAGTTTTTCTTTCCCATTGATTCGAATGTTCTGGTGACCGCCACCCGTGTAAACTCGGTATCTCGCAGAAGCATCGCGTGGGCCGATGGCAGGTGGGAAGATCAAGGGGTGTGCACCAGGAAATATTCCTCTCGCGGACCTGCAATTAGAACGGACGCGACGTGGGTGAGTAAAGGTGGACAGTAAATCAGCCCGAGTTTAAACTACGACGGCCTTAGGATGAAAGCGAGCATCTGCAGTAATCAACGAGATAAGGATGCTGCATCAGGTGCCACGTAGCACAAATATGACTTTTCCTCAATTTCATCTTTTCGACAAATGTACGATATACGTAATAATTGAGTGTATTCGTTGAAATTTAGAAGGTTTTAATAATTAAAAAGTTATAAAGAATTCAAACAAGATAGAGGCTTGAAGAAAAATCTTGATCAAGTTATGGGAAAGCAGGTATAGAACGGAGTACTTTCCCTCTTTTCTAACATGTAACAGAAATTTATATAAAGAATATACAATGGATATTCTAATTTTGACTATAATATAATACTTTGAACAATCTTGCAAAATTCACCGTACACACAGAACACGCTTTAACGATTCGAGGCTAAAAACGATTCCCCATGCCGAACACCATAAATCTCTAGGTACCAGATCTAAGAATTTTCTACCATTCTGACCCTACTACAAACCTCAATCACCACCCCAAACAAATCTCCGATTTCCAAAATCTACGAAATCTCACGCATAACTCCGAACCCCAAACGTCAAAAAATTAATCACGCCGGTCCCAGCCCGGCGCCAATAACCACAAGGGCGTGACACTGAAAGGCATCAGGCCACCGGGCATAGATAATAAAACCAAGCAAATAACGACGCACAAATTCGTCACGGCCGCGATAAACGATGGAAGATCGAGACCGTCACCCTTAACAGACGTTCCCTGACAAATAGACGAGGCTTGGCTCGTACAGTTCGAGGGTGAGGAGACTCCTAGGCGAATTCATAGACGGCCAGGAATGCGCAATATTGTCGGCAGTCTGTCACACATTCGATCCGGCCAGCCTTCGAGATAAGGCAAACGCGCGCGCGGTCGTGCTCGTTTTATTACACGCGTCCAGCGGTGGCCCGCAGATGTATCAGACAATAAACTACGGCCTGTTTGGGATTTGTGGGCCGCGTATTAATCTTACTGTATTTATATGCCGGCCCTCCAGAGAAAAAGCGGCCTCTGGATCATCAAGAGACGGGGCAAGAGCGCGAGCGCGCGACGAAAGCATCGATTTCAGATAAAATCGAGGCTTACCCTTGAAAAAAAGGGATTCGTCCCGGTAAACGACAGCACTGGGGATTGTTCCGAGCGTGGGTTAGATCGGACACGCTTGTCCTCCTTAGCTGGACGATTTTTGTTTTCTACCTTCGTTGGTGGCCCTCCTTTGGCGCGGGGGTTGGATCGAAGAATTGGACAGTGTATTTCGTGGACGATTCAGTGGCAGAGGGATGCTATCTGATTATTATATTTTACGGTGATGCTTTTAGCTTCGGAGCAGGTGGTGTTTTTATTCGGTTCTCTGCGGAATAAAGAAGGAAAATTAATTGCAATCTTTTACAATGATTACTGAATCTATAAGAAGTTTGAATTCATCGATTCGCGTTGTTTCTTAACTTCCTCTTTTGGAAAATTGCGATACCCATAGATACTATATACATTCATTGGATTCACACGCAGTTCGTTTTATAGTAGGTAGCTATGTAATGTTAAGTATGTTTTACATATCGCTATATGTCTCTTTTTTAATTCTTTTACATATGCTGTCTTTTTCGCATCAATGTGATACAACATTCTATAATGTTAACGCATTTATAGAAAATTTAAGTGCGCGCAATACGCAATAAATTGCCTAAAGTAACGTATTATAATAATGTTACTAGTCATAATCTTTAAGGGTAACAAAGCTCTGTTTAGTTTTCATTCTCTTAAGTATGTTAATAAAAAATGTGAATTTATAGAAATATCCGCAGACTAGCTATAGTTTGCAGAAATAATTATTAATAATTTTGCATTGTTCTCAATGAAAATCAAAGAGAAGAACGCAAAGATTCAATAAAACAAATGGTAGATTGACGTACTACTCGTCTTTCGATTTGCGTTTTTCGTCGAGCAGGTGCGTATCGACGTTATGTTAATGGGCATTCAGAAGATTTTGGTTAACCATATGCTATCCAACGAGGGTGGAGTGAGGCCAGAAATACTAATAGAAGCCGTTCGCAGAAGCAAGCTTGAATAAACGGTGCCCCGTCCAGCGAGGTCTAATCATTTCTGGGCGCCTAAGAAACGCTGGAACGGAAGCCAATTTGTAAATTGCCTCGATAAACCACCAAACCGATGCTGAATTTGTGGCTGAACGGCTCTCCACTCAGCTTCTAGCTGATGGTTATATCGAGAATCTCTTCTTATTGCATCGTTTTCCTGTAATTACAGGGTTTTCTGTATTCTAGTTGCTGGTACTAAGACCTAATGTTGTCTTTTTACATATTTATATCCTTCTTTTACTTCCTTCTCAATAATTTCAATACAAACAAATTCTTTTTCAACTAAACGTTTTTATGGAAAAAGTTCATTTTTATTAATTTTTTTTCTTCTCACAGTAAATGTAAGTCTTCCAGTTAATTATAGTAATCCTTGATAAGCACAATTCTGCAGTTTATTATGTTAATATTAACTTTTACCAAGTTACAAACTGACATAATGGAGAAAAATGAAACATCACTAGTTTCCAATTTTTATTATCTGTATTAGACAGTTTCCAGACTAAACTCAGCTTTTGCTAACTGTTTTCACGCTCAATGTTCAAATTTGATGCATTTCACAACGAATCTCAAGACGTGCTGTTCTGCGAATGCAGGCACGATCGGCCGATAAAAATCAAGTTATCTCGGTGTTCCGCGACGATCAGCCGCGTAACGCATGCGCTGACGCCATTAGAATATCGTGGCCACATACCGGGACCCAAAAACGAATGCCAGCCAAGGGAAAAGGGGTGACAGGGCCGACCGAAATGGAAGGGGTTAGCAGGATCGCCGGCGCCTTTGACCGGGAACCCCGTGGCGCGCGACATGCCTCGTCTGACCGCCATTTAGCGTGAACCTGTCTCCAGTGCAAACCACTCCGCTCTCGAAACTAGCCGTTTCGTTTTCAAAAACGAAATGTTTCATCCGGTGACAAATACTTTTCGTCATGGCAAACAAAATTGAAAATGTTATGTACTGAGAGAAAAGGAAGGTTGATGTTTACAAGATGTTGCGAGTTTTTCAGATAATGAGTAAAGAAGATACTAGGAGAGACACTGATGATGATAACCTCGCGAAATATACACTTACTTACGTGTAAAATTGGAACATCATATTTTAAAAATTCTATGGAGAGTTAGGACAGCTGCTACAATAAGGAAGCAATTCCATTGTACAGTAATTTAATTAAACCAGCTCAAAATCGATCAAATTCAAATCACTTTTAAATATAAACCCTAATAACGATCTTTTTTCTCTAAAATACAATCTAAATATTGGAACTACTTTCTTATGGCTGCAAGTCGTTTAATTGTAATCGATTGTTGTTAAAGAACCTTAGTATGTACTTACTGTTCGTACGAAAGTGCTGAATTATGGATGTTCAAAGGTAAAATAAAAGGATTCATGTTGCTGAGGTGTTATGGGTTCTTTAGATGGTAAACATATGTAGGAGACACTGGAAGAGTGAAAAGAAAAAGGTAATTATTTTTTATGTATTTTATTAGCGTATTAAAATTAATTACCATTGAGAAAACTTACTATTTGCATAAGAGTATTAAATTATAGATGTTCAAAGATAAAGTAGAAGGACTGATATTGTTGAGAAATTATGAATTCTTTGGATAATAAACATAAGAAACACTGGGAAACATTGGCGATAATTATCGGAAATACCTGTTTATATAACCATAAAATTAGACAATCGTTTTTTAAATACCCTATTAATTCACGTTGATTACTATTAAAAAAGAACTTACTCTTTGTATGAACGTTGCGTTGCAATTATTTATGATTACGAGAGAAAGTTGACGTTCTCGGAATGTCGTCAATTGTTTGGTTAGAATACGAGTCACTAGTAATAATTGCTCCATACAACATCTATTTACTAATCAATCAAATTACTAATCGATCAAACTATTTTATAATTATTCTATAAAAAATTAAAGTCAATCATTGCTTAAAAAAACGTATTACTTACTATTTTCATGATGTGGTTAATTGCGACTGCAAATGCTGCAAATATTACTTCATATAACGCTATCACAGATGGCGTTACAATGAACGCGCGAAGAGCATCCATAATTGAATAATTATATTAAATGCAATCGTGTTATTATTTCTTTGATCTTAAAAGATAAAGAAATAATTATGAATCAGTGTTAGTTCGGGGCTTAAATAAATAAAAAAAGAAAGAAATACACATAACATAACATCATTTAACATGATTCAATAAAAGATTAATTTTAATTTACTTACTTTTAATATTATTTACTTTATCACTTCCATCGCGTCAAATATAAAACTGTGAAGAAAATAAAATAATGTAAAAAATTAATAGATATGCCAACGATACCACTTGAGAGTTAATGGCATTGATATTAAAATATTTGTCCAAATAAATTACGCTTACAGAGTCATTTAAAATTTAACATTTATGTACCTAAACAATCTAACGAGTAAAACTATGCGACGTCTTCTTGGTTGGCAAAGCGGTGCCAGGATGCTACTCCATTCCACCCACGCGAAGTCGTGGTCTGATCCCGTGGTCGAAATTTCTGTGTGTTTGTCGAGCGGCGGTAGTAGGTCCCGGAGTTATGTTACGGCTGGCCATAAACGAAATGAGAAAACTGTCCGGCCGCCGTTGAAAAATCTCCGCGGAATACAAATGCTTGATTTTTTCGGGCGGCGCTCGCTTTTGGTTGGCCGCGCCTACGATGCTTTTTTCGGCCCCCGGCAGAACGTTTCACCTTCGACAAATGGCATGCTGATCGTAATTCCAGAACACGATGATAATAATAATAATCGAAATTTTGTCGGTCATAGCTCAGATTCATGATTAATTCAATCTCATTAACAGATAATATTGTTGTTACCAATATTATCAACTCGATCAATTTGATCAAGTTTATCAACTTTATCAAATAATTCAAATTATACAAACGAAATAATCTGCCATTAACACCAGAACTAGCAAAGTCGTTAAAATGACGGATCTCAAATTTTATATTACCAAAAGCGTGTAGAAATTTTTAGAAAAATTATCGAAATAGAAAAATGATTATAAAGTTCTATATTTCGTTTCCATAGCATCAAATTTTTCTAGTGATACGAAAGTACTACGAAGTATTACGGAATTTAATATATTTGGGTCTAATTAAATTGTGCATGAATGCTATAATAAATACAATGATATGCCATTACCTTCTGTAGCCACTGTATAATAGAATCACCGAACCAAATATATTGTATATTTCAATGCTTGTTGTAAATCAGTAGTTCTAGAGTCAAATCAGTACAACACAGAAATTCGCCCACTCAAATCGTCAAGAAACACCAAGTTGTCATCGTATACCTCGAGTGGCTCTCCATCAAATCTCTCCACGAAGTATGTCGAGCATTTCCAAATTAACCAATAAATTAACGAAAGTCGGAGAGACAGTCGGTCTTGACCAGTCGATCGGTGGCTTTTCTTTCGATTCATGGCTCGCAATTAATCTCGATCTTGTTCCCGTAGCATGCTGCCGTGGGCCTGCACGGTCGTTAATTCGGCGCTGACGAAGGCACCCGACGTGGTGGTGGGGCTGGACGGGTAACAGAGGAGGGGAGCTGGGGCCCGCTTTCGGGGCCCCGT